TTCTTAATGGGTCTTTTTATAAAAATAATACTGAAGATTCAGCAGCAAAAGAGAAAAATATTTACTGTGGTTACTTGGAGTGATTAATAGTGTATCACGTGTGCTTCCAGGTAAAAAGGGTTTTGTCTTTCAAAATGGCCTTCTGTGGCTGCAGTGGCGAGATTCAGCCAGTCGATTCTGAATGGAAAGTGGTTTCAGAGAGCTGGATTGTCAAGATGGCTGGGATAAAGTCCTCTTCCTGGTGCCCTGGGGAGGAAAATGCAGGCTTATTCTGAACCCCACCCAGCCTTTAGAGCAGCAGTCCCAAGTGGTGTCCAACTTACTGCCTGGCTCTGGTGGCTTTTGAGAAATAAACACCTGTCTGTTAGAGGGCCCCCTGAAAGCCTCCCAGAGGAGAAGTCACAGGGACCAATGCCTGGGTGTGAGCTCTGCTCTGAGCCATTAGGAGGGACCTACCTTCTTAGCTGAGCAGCTCCCTCATTCTGGCATGGATGCGGTTTGCATGGGGTCACTAAATAAACAAGTGCTGACAATTTTGCATATCTCCTCAGTGATATTTATTACGCCTTCATCAAGGCACTGGAGGGCCCTGCTTATTTAAATCAGTAGAATCCGCAGGTTGCCTGAGCTTGGTGCAAAGCAAGCACAGCACTACATGTAGCCAGGGTGCTGTCTGGGGGACCAGTCGGCCTGAAGCGGTCATGGTCTATGCTCCCCAGCAGAACGGCAGCTGCGTGACTCTTATTTTTGTGATGTGGAGCACACCCGGTGTGTGGCAGGGGGAACTGAAATGTCTTCTGCTGACTTTATACATTCAGATTTTTTCGTTGCTCTTTTTGGAAAAGGGAAGCCCTTACTGGGGCCGAATTCATAGGTTTTTCTGTAAATGAGTCCCTTCCCCACCCCAAACTCCACTGGTGGTCGATTTCCAGGGGTGGAAAGGCAATGTGACTGAACTTCTCAGCCCAAAAAAGGAGATTCCTAATGAGGGCCAAGAGGCTTGTGTTTAGGTGAAAAGATTTTTCTCTTGGTGATGGAAACTTGGATGCCCAGAGGCGACCTAAAGGGCCTTCAGAACACAGGATAAATGGTGAGAAAGCTTCAGGCTTTGAGGGTGTACTACCTGGAGCTGCGATTTGATCAGAGGGCTATGAAAATCTCTGGCCAACTCTACCGTGGGGAATTGGGTTTTCGTCTTCTGTGTAATACTTTTTCCATCTTCTGTTTTATTTTCTTGAGCTCTTCTTTTATTATTATTATTTTAAGAAATTATTCTAATAATCTTAACTTTTTTTCTTTTAAATATTCTAGATTGGTTGTTTTAAAGCTAGCTCAGTGCAAGGATCCAGAAGCCCCAAGGCAAAGCAATCATGATTCCAGACAAACTTATTTTTCCCTTTCCAAATTTGTATTTGTGGGCTCATTTCTCATGCTAGCGGCGGTAAGGATTACAGTGTTTATTGTGGAATTAGGAATGGTTATTGTTGCTTTAAGAAGGTTGGTGCGAAACACACCAACTGCATGTTTTCATCTTGCAAATGCACTTGGCTGTTGGGCTCCTGTGGGAATTGTCTGGAGGCTTCAGATTCTGATTATTTCACGGTCCCTTTGCAAAGATACTGTCAGAAGCACCCTCGCTGTTGCCTACTTACTTGGAGTTAGTTACAGGATCCTTTGGCAGCTGGTGCGGACTCGTGGGTGGGCAGCCAGGAGATCCTTGGGAGCTGTGGGAGTTCTGCGACTGCAGTAAGTACTGCTCTCCATATGGTGGCTGTGCCAGGGCACACCTGTTGACACTGGGTTCCAGGAACTCTGGACATCAGAGGGTGATGCCCTCTGCTCATAGCACCTCCCCTAAGCCCTCTTTGTTCATTGATTCGAAAACAACAGGAGGCAGGAAGCCTCTGCTTGACAAGGTCCTGGAAATGCCCAGCTGGCCACTCTGCAGCCGAGTGTTCCAAGTGTCTCTTCCTGGGAGATACGGGACCTGGCCTGCTCTCAGTTCTTCCTCAGAAATGCGCATGCAAATCGGGTGGGGGTGGGGTGTTGGCTACATACCTTTCTTTGATATGGTCTGAGATGTGTGCCTGTGGGATTGAGTCTTTCTTGTCCCCACCCTAATTAAGAGTGTGACCACAGTGCTCAACCCCCCCACCCCCCAAAAAACACACACCTTTGTGGGAGTTTCTTCTGAGTGCAGAATGCCTCAGGCTACACTTTGTGCCTAAGAATAGCTGAAAACCCAGTTGGAGACAAGTTCAGGTTGAGTGACATGGATATGAGCAAAGCTGACGTGGCCGTGGGTGGCCGTGGGAATGAGTAAGCGGACTGTGGGAGGGCAGGTGCCCCTGTTCTCTGTGGTGTCAGGCCACAGCTGGGGTCTGTGGTCAGCACTGGCATTGCCCATCACAAGGGGAAGCGGAAAGAAGAACCTGTGCTGGAAAGGGCTACTAGTACTACTACTAATGAATGCATAGGGTGGGCAAAAGTAGATTTACAGTCGTTCATATGGAAAATAATACACTAATTAATAAACAAATAATAACACAAGAATAAACTCGGTGTTTCAGGTACTCACAACTGTAAACCTACTTTCGCCCCACCCTGTATGAGCTCACTTTGATTCCATGCTGACTCAGTGCAAGCCCTATTCTAAGTATTTACATGTCATTCTCAAATTACCCTACCAGGTACATACCACTATGATCCTCTTTTTATAGATGAGGACACTATTAATGGATTATAGATTGTTTCACTGGAAGGTAATGAAAGGAAAAATTGTGCTTTGTCACCCTGAGGCAGGTACAGTAGAGAAAGAGCTTTCAGACATTGCAGCTCCCTGGAAAAGGGTGGGAGTGGTGGAGGGAGGGGAAGAAAAATAACATGTTCTGAACATCTACCATACGCTGGATATGGTTCTGCGAGTTTCCTGTGTATTATTTCAGTTGATCTTCACAACTCTTGCGTGAGACTGGAATTATTTATTTCCATTTCACAGATGAGAAAGTTGAGGCCCAGGGATGTTGAATAAATAATCTGAATACAGGTATTTTTGACTCTTAGGTCCATTGTCACTGGTACTTAGAATAAAGGAGATGGTGCATAGGAGGTCCTGGGGCACAGGTAACAGGCTATACACTCTCTCTACTATACACACCCCTTTAGGCTGAAATCACAAGTTGTAAATGTTTCATTTATGCTTGTGTCTCCCACTGGGCTGCAAGATACTTGTGGGCAGGGGCCACACTTACCTCGTTCAATGCTGTATTCCCAGTGACTAGGGATATCTGAAAGAATGAATGAATACCAGCAGAGGTCCCTTGTTGTGACAGGGGAAATTAAAAAGAGGATGATTAATCTCCTATCAGGAGGTTGGATGAAGTTTCTCATATTAGATTAAGGACAAATTATTAGTGGTTCTCATCTCAGCACAGTGGTTCTCATCTCAGCATCTGAATCACCTGAGGGATTTTTATAAAATCCTAGGCTTCCTAGGCCCATATTAGACCCCAGAATCAGACTTCTCAGGTGCAGGGCCTGGGTATCTGTACTTCATATTGCTACTTGGCCAGGTTAAGAAGTCCCTGAGAACGCATCTGCATTTGGGGTTCTCTGATTGCACATCACGTGTTTCTGGGGTTCTTGGACACTCTTCCCACTTCCTGCTGCCTTCTCCACCTGCTCAGCTTCGAGGCCAGGCCATATGTGTGTCTGGAGCACAGATGGAGGTCTGGTGCTAAGTCAGGCATGGGATCTTATCAGCTGGGTATTTACCAAGCAAAGTTCAGCCAGGGCAGTGCTGAGGATCCGGGTTTGATACCCAGGCTTCCGGGCTTTTGATTCAGAGCCGAATCTCTGGGACTCTTATCAGTGGTTGGTAATGAACTCCCAGTGTGAGTCCTAAGGGCCAGTGCTACATGTCACTCTAGGTTGTGGACCTTCTGGGTAAGCAGGTTGTCACTGTCCAATGATGGCTGCTTTTGGCTTGCTCTGCTGGGACAGAAAGAGCCCTATATTCCAGCTTCATGCTTTGGTTTCCTGGCTTTGATGAGAAAAGGCAAAGAGAACCTTCTCTCAGCAGCAAGGCTGGACACCCCAGGGCACATGGGTCACCATTGGGTATTTGTCATATGTCCTGAGAGCCATAGAGAACGTGGGAACCACTTGCTCCAGCCCATTCTAAAGGTCCAGGAGAGGTGATGGGAAGATGAATGGCAGACAGCACATTTTAAATGATCACCCAATCAATTAATCAACAAATTACTGACTAAGCTTACTATGGATATACCATTTGGGGAGGTGTAGAGAAATAAGGTACAATATCTGACCTTGAAAAGTTTATAATCTAGTTCGGGGCATCAGAAATTTACACCAGAAAAAGAAAATTATTACATAGCAGACTAAACATTTATTGAATGCTTATCCTATGCTTCCCATTTCCTATGTCGGCGACTCCTTATAACATTGCTTTCATAAGAAATTACAGGGTACAAGGCACAGAGAGGTATAGTAGCTTGCCCAGGATCACACAGCTAGAATGTCGCAGAGGACGGTTTTGAGGCCTGTGCCACCTGAGAGTCTCTGCTCTCACTGGTGTCCCCTACTGTCCCTATGATGAACAGTGGAGGTGTTTGAGAGACAGTCGGCTAAAGCAAATTCTGTGGGCTGCAGTGGCCCACCGGGGATGGTTGCACTAGCCTTGGGTTGGGAAGAATCAGGGGGCTGAGAAAAGTGAGGGGGAATCCTGGCCACGGGAAATCTCAAGCAAAGAGGAGGAGGTGAGACGGGCAAAGAACATGCGGAGAGACCTGCTGGCTGGAGTGAGGGTTCATGTCCTCGACGGTGCGCACAGCCTTGGAAAATGGCTCACCCACTGGGATCACCCTGTGTGTAGGGGGCACGCTCCGTTCTAGACTCAGGAGCTCAGCGTCTGGGTCAACCGCCCGGGTGGAGGGGAGCCACGGGGGGCTGGGGGCAGGAGGAGTGGCATCCTGGGGGGAATGCTCCGGGAAGCCTCGTGGGCCTCTGCGCCCAGGCAGGGCCTGGGTGCGCAGGCGGACCCTGGAGGCGAGCGGGCGCCCCAGGTGGGGGTCTGGGGAGGGAGATGAGCGCCAGGGACACTGTTTCCACAGCCAC